AGGGGTTGGATAGCTCTGTGTGTGTGTGTGTGTGTGTGTGTGTGTGTGTGTGTGTGTGGCAGGATTAGCATTGCTTCAGAACGGCCTTCACTATAAGCTGGAAACCTGGTTAGTTCTGTTCCTCCTGAAGAGACATCTCTTTCTCATCATTGTCTGGCACCAAAGCAGTTGGAAGGAAGCAAGCCTCAGATTGGGTGATTAATAGCGCTCCCTCATGCCTCTCAGTTTTCAGCTCCTTCCCTCTTCCAGCCTAGTTTAGGTGAAATCTGCTTAGCAAGGGGATGGTGCTCAGATAACCTTTGCTGATTCTCACTTTCCTATCCCCAGCATCAATTAGAGACCCTAGCTGGGAGCCAGAGGAGAAACTATTTATTAGAAGCTTGTTCAGAATACACTTCCGGAAGGCTATGTTCTCAGTCTCAGCAGCCCAGTACCTCCTGGTGGAGGAGGACTGTGTAGGCAATTGGAGATGCAGGCTCTGTACTCTGGGAGTTCAGCTCTCAGCGGGGAGGAAAGGCAGACAAGCAGGGAAATTGCCAAAATATGGCCTGCCAAGAGAGCAAAGGATTGCTTGGACTCGAGTAGAGGGGGTAACACCCAGTGGCTTCTGGCAAAGTGTGACTTTTTTCTGCCTCTACCTCAGTTTCCCCCTTCTCAATGGCTACAATCTTGAGCAAGACAAGATTCACACAAACCATCAAACTCCAAGTTGAGAAGGGAAGAAAATGTTTTTGAGGATCCACTGGGTGCCAGGTACTGCTGTTTGTACTTCCGTGGTATAGTAGAGTCAGACAGACCCAAATTTGAAGGCACTTGACCTCTTCCAGCCTTATTTTTCTTGTCTCTAAGATGATGACATACAGTATTGGTAAGAAGATTTTATTTATTTACTTGTTTATCAAACACTAAGTAGTGCTTACTGTGTGCAATTTATAAATGTCAACACATTTAATCCTCATAACAATCCAATGAGGTAAGTACTGTTCTTCCCATTTTACAGATGGGGATACTGAGGCTTTGTCAAGTTAATGAACTCACCCAAGTTCACACAGCAAATGGCAGAGCTGAGATTTGAATTCAGACTATCTATCTTTAGGATCCATGTGCTTAGCCACTATACTATGCTGTCTCCCATATGTGATAAAGTACAGGCAGTCTCCGTGTTATGAATGAAATCTTCTCCTAAGTATAATTTGTAGGCAAGTTAAACAGGTGCATATGGTTCTTATTTAGCCTTACTTTAGTGCAAGAAAAGGCTCGAAGTCTTCTCAATGATTTAAAAGCTGCATGAGCAGCACGTGAAGGTGCTTGTGATGAAGAATTCCTTGTGAGTAGGGGTTGGTTCAATCCTTTCAAAGTGAGGGCAAATTTACGTAACATTACAGGTAAAGTATGAGTTGTCTGTAAGTCCTATATTTGTAACCCAGGGACTTACTCTATGTGAAAGCACTTAACACAATGCCTACCACATTATAAGAACCTAGTAAATGGTGATCCTCCCCTTAGTCTTTTAAAATTCCATTGCAACCCCACACAGCAGGTGTCTCCATTTTACACAAGGAAACCACAGTTTGGAGAAGTTTAATAACTTGCTCAAGAATTCACTGTTAGTAAATACATCTGGGATTTGAACCCAAGAAAAACTGACTCCTGGGTCAATGTCATTTCCCTGTACTATGTAGTATGGAAACCACTGAAGTGCATGTGGGCCTAGACCACCAATGGAGAGTGCTTGTTTAAGGATGGTCTTCCTTCCCCAGCCACAAGCATAAGAGACTGTGACAGAAAGAGGCTTCTCAGTAGGGAACTCTCTTTTATGGCCATTAAACAGACTCAATGGCTGCTGGCAGCAGAGCCTGAGTCTCATCAAGCTTCAGGAAGGGCATCATGACTCTCAGCCGTCAGCTTTACCTCTATGTAATGCCCTACACAAGGGCAACCCCTTACCTGCTGTACCCTGACTTTTTTGCACACTTTAAATTCTCAGTAAGCCTTCATCATCATCATCACCATCTTTGGCTTCTTAAGAAGCCAGTCATCATCATCATCATCTTCCTCATAGTTACCATTTATTGAATGTTTATCAAGTGTTGTTATAGGCACTCTATATGTATTAACTCATTTAACCTTTCCAACAATGCTATGAGGGAAAGACTATTACTATTCCTGTTTCACATGTGAGACAACAAAGGCCCAGAGTGGTTAAATAACTAATCTAAGGGCACATGGCCCTGAGTTAACAGGCTTTTCTGAGTTCAGCTTGGGAGAAGTTGATCATTGCCAAGATACTATCATTGCTATGGGAAAGCTGAGGGCAAAATAATAACAGGAAACTGAACTTCAAGAGCAGAACTGCTAAAATCACCTATTCTTCCCCTGTAGAGTAAGCTCCTACCCTCAGTTTAGGAGTCAGGCACAGAGAAGACATACTATTCATTCTGTCAAGAATGTAAAGAGAGCCCCTGACTGGGAGGCCTGGACTGTAGTCATGGCTTTGCTCTTGTTATATGGCCTTGGGCAAGTCAGGCAAGACAAATAGTAATTCTTTCCTCTGGTCATCCAATCTACCTGGTCCCAGAGGCACAGTGGGAAGGGATAACATTTATTGAGTGCTTACTATGTGTTTGGCACTGCTCACAACAGCCCCACTGAGGCACACAGAGGTTTCTGTCAGACATTGGGTTCCCTGGGAAGCATTGGGACAGGTTAGTGTACAGAATATTAATTAAAGAGTGCCCTGGGGATCAACACTTGTGGAAGGGAAGGTATTATGGATTGAATCATGTCTCCCCAAAATATGTACTGTAAATCCTAACCTCTATGCCTGTGGTTATAATCCTATTCGTTATGTTAATGAGACAGGATTAGTGTAGGATGTGTCTTAAATCAATCTCTTTTGAGATATAACGAGATTAAATTAGCAAGCCAAAGAAACAGAGATGGGGTAAGATAGATGCAAAGACACACAGAGATCTCCAAGGAACCAGAAAGCAGAAGCTAAAGAGACAAGGACCTTCCTCCAGAGCTGACAGAAAGCCTTCCCCTAAAGCTGGTACCCTGAATTCGAACTTCTAGCCTCCTAACCTGTGAGAAAATAAACTTCTGATTTTTAAAGTCATCCACTTGTAGTATTTCTGTTTTATAGCAGCACTAGATAACTAAGACAGAAGGGAAGGGAAGGCAGCAGGATAGGATAAAGGGAGATGTTGAGCTGCGATGGAAATCTACAGGAAGTTCTGAAGCTAGGATGACCCTTCAGAGTTGGTCCCATAAAAGGGGCCAGGCTTTTATGTCCCTGCATCAATTATTCATTGGATTCCTAGTCCCTGATTTCTAGTCCAGAGTTATTTCAATCATCCCCAATATCAAACCATCTCTAAAAGGAAGAAAGGGTTAAAGAAAAAAAAAAATGATCAGGGAGAGGAAGCAGAAAATAACGGACCCTGGAACCAGACAAATCTGGGTTCAAAGCCTGAAACTTCCTCTTATTAGTTGTTAAACTCTAGACAAGTTATTGAACTTTTCTGAGTTATAATTTTCTTTGTTGGAAAATGGCAATAAGAATACTTAGCTTGTAAGGTTGTTTTGAAAGTCAAATACAATCATTTATATAAAGCACCTTACATACAGACCTGGCACAGAACAGGTGCTAGATAAATGGAAATTATTGTAATAATTGGGTAAATTATTGTGCCATGGTGTGCCTGGTTTCCTCATTTGTAAGGTGGAGTGAATTAGAGTGAAGAAGAGCTACCAATCAGGGTTAAATGATATTACATCTTTTGTATTGCCTGGTACATAGTAGGTCCTCACTCAGCATTTACTTCAATAAACAAATGTTTATTTAAAAGGATTTGTACAGACATGACATACTTGCTTTCAAAGAACAGAGGAATTTTTATATTGTGAACACACAGACACTGTGGTAACTTAAAACTACAGTTAAGGAAGGAAGGGAAAAAAATCCACCTCCCCTCCAACCAGGGACTAAGACTTGGGGCTAAAATTTTTCAATCAGCCAGGCTCCATTCCTGCCCCTTAAGTTTGAGAGTGACTTGACCAGAGACCTGTATTTGATGGAGAGTAAAGCTGTGGAGCTTGGGAAGCCCAGTGCCTTTTCTTTTGGGAAGGAAGGCACAGCACCAAGACCATTTGTACAATCCACAGAAAAGGGGTGGCCAGCAGCTGTCCTGAACTAAGGCTGCCTTATAGAAGTGGGATGAATGGAGAGGAAATCCCACTTATCTGCATGTGTAAAGTGATTGGCACTTACTTGAATCCTAAGCCATTCCTCTCCCTGCTAAGATATACCATTAAGTAGGTGCCAGAGTAATGGTTTTAACAAAAGCCAGCATGGAGGTTAACCTGGGGCCCCTCTCAGCCTAAGACGGCCCCGACAGCATAGCCCTCAGCTCCAGTGACTGCTGAGTTAGGCAGGACTTATGGACTGGGTCTGGTTCCCTAATTTCACTGTGGGGAACTTCTACCACCGATTTGCAAAGACTGGAGTTATGGAGAAAAGGCCCACAGATTCCAGGATCCCCAGGCACATAGCCTGTGCCTGAGAACTTTCACATATCTGAGGAATTGGGAGGTGGGGGGGGGCTTTAGAATAACAACTAGACATCCTAAATGAATATGAAAAGGAGGGCTTGTCTAAGATACCTCTGGACCTTAAGGATGAGAGGAGGGTAGGGGAGGATATATGCACCAAGCCTGTTGGGAAGTCCAACAGTAAGTTCCTTCAGAGCCTAAGACAAAAATACAGGGAGGGGGCACATTGGGGCCTTCACCTGAAACAAGATATGGGCCCCCATCAGCCCTCAGACTCTACAGCTCTGTAGGCCCCAGGCCTCAGGCACAAGAGACAGAGAATCACATCTGGGCCTTCTGTCCCTCCCTCAGCTCCAAACGAGCGGAGAGGTTAAGATGACAATCGGAGAGAAGGGATCATAAGACACACTCATTAGCACCCGAACCACATCTCTTCTTAAACCAGAAATCCTAAGAGCAGAAAGAAATAAGAAGAAACTGAGAGAGGGGTTGTGCTTCCATCACATTAAATAGGAGACTTGGTGGGGGTGGGTTAGTGTTGTTTCACATCAGAACATCAATCACTCTGGCCAAGGGGAAGGGTTATGAGGAGCAGAGCTCCACGTGCTCTCCCTTTCTTCATTCATCTTGCTTCCGTTTTGGCTTTTTGGGGTTCCGGGACCGGCTCTTAGCTTTGCACAGAGGGCATATTGGTGCATTTCGGTGAATTTGCTGGTGACAAGACAAGCAGGCCTGGTGGGAGGTACAGGGCAAAGAAAGTTAGTGATTAGATTCTTCTAGGCTATGGCTTAACCCACGGGCCCAGACAGCAATTGTGATTTCCCATCAGGAGGGAGCAGTAATCATTGGGTGAGACTCAAGGAGGGAGATCAGTGCTCTTGGGGGCCACAGAAGAGGGGAGTGAGGGATATAACCCAGGTTAGAGAGGGTGTTAAGAAAAAGTATCCGAAACTTGGAAATAAGGCAAAATGAGCATTGACTTTCCATTCAGCATTATCCTGGAGCATTGTTTAACAGGTCCGCCCAAGGATTATTTAATTCTCTAGGATAGGGATCAGCAAATTTTTTTCTATAAAAAGGAAGAGAGTAAAGATTTTAGACTCTGTGGGTCATACGGCCTTTGTCATAACTATTCAAATCTACCATTTTATATGAAAGAAGCCATAGACAATACTTAAACAAATGGGCATGGGTATGTATCAATTAAACTTTATTTACAAAATCAGGGAGCAGATCAGACTTGGCTTGAGGGCTCTGCTCTAGGAAAATATCCCTTTGTTTGGCTATTAACTATCAAAGGTGCAGACTCTTCTGAAGTTACATTGATAAACTGCAAACAGTTTTTGCCCAGTAGAGATGCAAATTATTTCTGTTTGGAAGAACAGATAACCATAAAGGTTACAGTTTTATTGCCCTGTATGGCATTAACCAGAATCCCTGGGTGGTGCAAATGGTTAACAGGCTAAGCTGCTAACAGAAAAGTTGGAGGTTCAAGATCACCCAGAGGCAACTAGAAAGAAAGGCCTGAAGATCTACTTCCAAAAACTCAATCATTGAAAACCCTATGGAATACAGTTCTACTCTGAAAAACATGAGGTCACCATGAGTCAGAATCAACTGGATGGCAACTGCTTTAGGATATTAACCAGTTCTGTACCTAACTTTGCAAATTTATTTCAGCATTCCTTTCCTTTCCTGACTATATAAATATCTGTTCTCAAATGCTCTTGGAACCAGCTTTGTTATCCTGCTGATCCCTCATTAATGACACATAAACCAAAAACCAAACCAAACCCACTGCCGTTGAGTCAATTCCGACTCATAGCGACCCTATAGGACAGAGTAGAACTGCCCCATAGGGTTTCCAAGGAGCACCTGGTGGATTCGAACTGCCTGCCTCCTGGTTAGCAGCCAAACTCTTAACCACCACACCACCAGGGCATGCTCACTATAAATTTCTACGAGTCATGTTTTTAACTTTTTGAAAATTATACTTCAGACGGGGCTGCCAATCTCCCAGAATTCTAACCCCTCTGGGGGTGGAGAGCAACAAAACTGGTGGGTCAACCACAGCACACTCATGCCACCCCTTCCTCTGTGTTCCAAGCAAAGGCTATTTTAGGAAGGCCCCAAATTAGTAAGGACAAAGCCCCAGACACAGCCTTCCATAGGCCTGCCTAAGGATAGCTTGCTTCCACACCCCATGCCCAACTCACTCACCTTCATAGGTGGAGGCTGCTGTCTGAAGGTGGCTGTCTGCCGAGTGTCCTGCTTCCTAGCGACTTGGAGTTGCTGGGCGGCGGCGGCTGCAGCAGCCAGGGACTCAGGGATGGGGGGCTCCTGGGGCTCCGTCTGCCACTCTGCTTTCTGCTTCTCAAAGTAACTTTGGATATGAGAGACACTGGCTGGATCATTCTGAAAGCAAGGGGAACTTTGCCCCTTTAAAGGACTCCATGCAACAGAACCAAGAGTTGGGCTGTAGCTCACTACAGAAAGTTCCTGTACCCTCCTCAGCACAAGGCTCTTTGCTCTGGGTACCAGGCCCACTGTTTGCTGGGAAGGGTAATCCTCCTGCTCCTTGTTTCTGACAGACCCAGAAGATCAAGAAATCCCAAGGAAAGTAAGGTGAAGTGCATTCAGTCCTACTGTCCATCCCATGCTTTTATCTCTTTTGCAGTATTCCTATTTAAGTGTCCTCAGGCCTCTGCTGACATACCTTTAGTAATAGGAAGCTCACCACCTCCACAAGTAGCCTGCTCTACCTTTAGGAAGTGTTTCCTTCTTACTGAGCTGAACTTTGTCTCTCTGTAAGGTGGGCCTAGATCTTAACTCTGGGGGTCATAAGATGAAGTCTGAGTCTAATCCCTGGAGACCACAAAAGCTCAGCCTTCTGTGTTCTCAAAGGTTTCTGGACTTCCTTTCTACACCACGACTTGGGAAGTGACCTCTTAAGAGTCATAGACATTGTCTGAGATTGTCAAAATCAAACAAAGAATTTTAAAAAACCATCTAGTAATTCTAGTCTAATCATCTTTTTTCTATGTAACAGCTTAGCACAGAGACTTGCTCAAGGTCATGCAATGAGTCAGTCACTGATAGACCTAGGGCCAGGACGAGGTACCCTGACTTTCAGGCCAGGCTTCGTGTGTGTACTCACACTTCTGTGTGTGTGTGTGTGTGTATGCTGCAAGGACAGGAGGCAGATAGCTTACTCCAAGGAGAGCTTCTCCTCCTCTTCACACAGGTCAGGGAGCCTCTGCAGGCCCAGGGTCATGCGCAGGGCATCCACATGTTCCTTCAGTGGCTTATACTCATCATGCAGCCGTCGGGTAGACTCCAGCAGCTTATTTAGGTCATTCTCAGACTGTTTGATGGTGTTCTCCATCTACAATGTAGAGAGGGGTGGGCACAGAGACAAGACCTCAAGGTTTTTAGAAAGTCTATATAGCTGAGTGAGTAATAGCACAGGCTCCAGAACCAGACCAATCTATGTTCAAGTCCTGGATCTTCCAGGTCTTCTCTGTGTGACTCTGGTCAAGCCTCAGTTTCTTCATCTGTATAATGGCATAATAACAGTACCTACTAATACAATTTTAGTGAAGATTCAAAGGGCAAAATCATATAAAGCACCCAGTACAGGGGATAACACAGAGTAGAGGCTCAATAAATGGTAGTTATCACTCAAATAGAAACCCTAGTGGGGTAGTGGTTAAGTGCTATGGCTGCTAACCAAAAGGTCGGCAGTTCGAATCCACCAGGCTCTCCTTGGAAACTCTATGGGGTAGCTCTACTCTGTCCTATAGGGTTGCTCTGAGTTGGAATCGACTCGACGGCAATGGGTTTGTTTTTTTTTTTAATCATTCAGATATAGCATTTTAGACCAAGAATGGCCCTTAGAGATCATTTAGTTCATCCTACTGCCATTTTACACGTCAGAGAACTAAGGCTCAGAGAGATAAAGGCACTTCTTCAGAGAATCACTTCTTAGGGAGAAAACCTAGGTAAAGGCTCAGGGCTTCTGCTTCCTGGGCCAATGGCCTTTCTCTTAAATCAGTGGTTCTCACTGAGAATGCAAATTCTCAGGCTCTACCCCAGACAGAGGTGCCCTGGTGATGAAATGGTTAAGCATTCAGCTGCTAATCATAAGATTAGTGGTTCAAACCCACCCACTGACTCCACGGAAGAAAGACCTGGTGATCTGCTTCCATAAAGATTATAGCCAAGAAAACCCTATGGGCCACTTCTACTCTGTAATACGAGGTCACTATGAGTTGGCATCAACTTGACGGCATGCAACAACAACACCCCAGATGCACAGAATCAGGAAGTATGGGGTAGAGGAGGCGGGGCCAAGATGGCGGAGTAGTCAGACGGCTTTCCATATCCCTCTTACAACAAAGACCTGGAAAAACAAGTGATTTGATTGTATATGAGTATCTAGGAGCCCTGAACAAGGCAAAGTTGAAGAATTGGACTGAGTGGCGGGGGGAGAGGGAGACGGTTCTGAAGAAGCGAGAAGTGCCAGACCGGACTCGCTCAGCTAGAGCCCCAGCTCTTCAGCCCTGACTGGCTCCAAGGTACACAGTGAAGCAGGCAACAGCTCTGCGCGCGTGCTCAGTAGGCAGTTACCACATCGAGAGAGAGCCGGCAGCAGAGATTCTTCTTGGACACTCCAAACCAGTGAAAAGCAGCTCCCAAGTAGCTAAAGATAAGTACATGCGTGCAGCCTTTAGAGGGGATTTAAAAAAAAAAAGCCTATTTGGGAAAAACCTCTCTCCCTTTTACCTCCTCCCTCTCTGCTCTGCACCGGTCCGAACTTCCAAAGTCTCTAAGTCCACTGGGCCAGAAGTAGATCCCAAAAGGTGCTCTGACCCAGTCTCCTGGCCTTGGAGAGGGAACAAATAAGCTACTGGCTCCCCTAAGCCAGGAAATCAGGGTTGGCACTGCTCCTTTGCTAGGCACAGGCATAAGGGGTCTGCAGACTTTGAGTGCCTTACACCGTGCAAAGACTTGTGGGGACCCATCTCAACAGTGTAAGCCCTCACTACCACAGTACAACGGGGTAAACATCTGAAGTCTAACTTCAACTGTTTCAGCTGTGAAGTGGCAGATTTGTGATCCTCGACACAGCCCTGCCCTTTGAGCAGGCACCTTTACTGATCCACACCAGGGGCTTGAGTACTCATGGCTCTACATATGCCACGTAGTCACCTGCTACAGGGGTCCAAGAATAAGTGGTGCCCTCAAGTCTTTATAGCCAACAGAATGGGGTGCTTATAGTCTGGTTGCAAAACTCACCTACCTATCCGCCCTAGGGAATAGGGACAGGCTCTCCTTTCAGATTCTCAGGGGCAGCTGTCAGCCTCCTGCCTGACTTAGCGCATGACCACCTACTACAGCCAGACACCTGTGCCTACACCAATCACCCATGCCTCTCTAAGACTGTAGGTGAGAGCCTGTGCCACACACTTGGTGTCTGACTGCCTGGACACCTATGCTGAACCCATATAGGAAAACTAAACGGACTCCTGTGTGCACACACTTAGTTACAGAACTAACTACTTGGTGATAGGACGTTAGAGCTTCAAAGGTGCCAATAATCAAACTAGCGTACACAAGCAGCCTATTTGGGCATATCAAAACGAAACAAAACTAGAAGCTAGGACTCACTAAACAAATATAAAATAAAATTATAATAACTTATTGATGGCTCAGAGACAACAGTCAATATCAAATCACATAAAGAGGCAATCCATGATGGCTTCAGCAAGCTTCCAAAATAAACAATCAATAAATTATCTGGAGGAAGAGAATTTCATGGAATTACCAGAGGAAGAATACAAAAGATTAATATACAGAACTCTTCTAGAAATTAGAAAGAAAATTCTCCAAACCGTAGAGACAGCCAAAAAGCATACAGACAAAGTAGTAGCACAACTTAAAAGACTTATTCAAGAACATAATGACAAATTTAAATGGCTGCAAGAATCCACAGAGAGACAGCAATCAGAAATCCAGAAGATTAACAATAAAATTTCAGCATTAGACAATGCAACAGAAAGTCATAGAGCAGAATTGAGGCAGTAGAAGTTAGCATTAGTGACAGTAAAGATAAAGCACTTGATGCCAACTTTTCTGAGGAAAAATCAGATAAAAGAATTAAAAAGAATATAGAAACTCTAAGAGTCATGTGGGACTCTATCAAGAGAAATAACCTGCGAGTGATTGGAGTACAAGAACAGGGGGGATAACAGAAAATACTGAGAAAATTGTTGAAGATTTGTTAACAGAAAACTTCCTTGACATCATGAAAGATGAGAAGATATCTATCCAAGATACTCATCTAACCCCACATAAGGCAGATCCCAAAAGAAACTCACCAAGACATATTATAATCAAACTTGCCAAAACCAAAGATAAAGAGAGAATTTTAAGAGTGGCTAGCGATAAAAGAAAAGTCATCTACAAAGGACAGTCATTTAGAATAAGCTTGGACTACTCAGCAGAAACCATGCAGGCAAGAAGTCAATGGGACGACATATATAAAGCCTTGAAGGAAAAAAACTGCCAGCCAAGAATTATATATCCAGCAAAACTGTCTCTCAAATATGATGGCGAAATTAGGTCATTTCTAGAAAAATAGAAGTTTTGGGAATTTGCAAAAACCAAACCAAAATTATAAGAAATACTAAAGGGAGTCCCATGGTTAGATAATCAATAACATCAGATAACAACGCAAGACTAGAACACAGGATAGAGCAACCAGATATTGACTCAGATAGGGTAGTTGAAAATACATCAAAGCAAAAACATTGAAAATAGGGAAACAGGCATATCAATATGTAAAAAAGGACATTAAAACAAACAAGAGGGACTTAAAAAATGGAGACATAGACTATTCATATGGAGGGGAAGTCAAGGCGAAATAAAGAAATAAAAGACTGCTAAAAACTTAGAAAAGTAGGAGTAAATATTCAGGTAACCAAAAAGGACTCCAAAAATCCTACAATTAAAATAAAAAAGTAGAAAAATATAAAGACCCAGCAAACACAAAATCTACAACAATGAAAAAGATGGGAAAAAAAAGTAAAGAAAAACGACTCAGCACAGAAAATTAAGGGGAAGAAAGATACTGTGAACAACACACAAAGAGAGATATCAGGATGCAGCACTAAACGCATACCTATCAATAATTACGCTGAAGGTAAACAGACTTAATGCACAAATAAAGAGACAGAGAATGGCAGACAGGATAAAAAAGCATGATCCATCTATATGCTGCCTACAAGAGACGCACCTTATACTTAAAGACATAAAAACGTTAAAACTCAAAGGATGGAAAAAATATATCAAGCAAACAGCACCCAAAAAAGAGCAGGAGCGGCAATATTAATCTCTGACAAAATAGACTTTAAAGTAAAATCCACCACAAAGGATAAGGAAGTACACTATACAATGATTAAAATGTCAATACATCAGGAGGACATAATGATAATCAATATTTACGCACCGAACAACAGGGCTCCAAAATACATAAAACAAACTCTAACAGCACTGAAAAGAGAGATAGACAGCTCCACAATAGTAGAAGGAGATTTCAACACACCGCTTTCAGTGAAGGACACAACATCCAGAAAGAAGCTCAACAAAGACACGGGAGAGCCAAATGCTACAATCAACCAACTTGATCTCATAGACATATACCGAACACTGCACCCAACAGCAGCCAAGTATACTTTCTTTTCCAATGCACATGGAACATTCGCCAGAATAGACCACATATTAGGCCATAAAGCAAGCCTTAACAAAATCCAAAACATCAAAATATTACAAAGCATCTTTTAAGACCATA